GCTGTTCAGTGACATGCTGTTTGAGCTGATTTCTTTGGAACTTTTGGCTAATTATAAACCTTTCCAACATTTGGATTGTTAAGGATTTTTTTTTTCAGGTAATTTATCACACCAGTCAGCTAATTTACATACATTTGGTACAGATACACAGGGTTAAAGCTGACATACACTGTTTTAGGACCATCCTTGAAAAAAATCAAGCAACAGATAATTTAGAGTCCCTGCCTTGTGCTCATTGCTTTATTTTTAATATCAGATATAGAATTATATGATTTCCATTTAGAAAAGTAACATTAACGTATGAGATAATGGCCGACGATTTAAAAATAGTATATAATTATAATCTACAGTTTATGATATATTATTTTAAACTGTGTGATAAATATTATCATGTTTACAGGAGAAGAGAGAATAGTGAGAGAGGGTAGTCAACATTTAATCAAGAAAGTGGGATTTGAACTGGACCGTAAAGAATTCTAGAATCTGAATGAGCATAGGAGCATGGTGATGGTGGGGGCACAGGGGCAAGGGGAGAAGGGAGATACAAGCAGCATATCTTCATCTTCTAGTATACCCATTTTCTTAGATTTCCTAATAAAATATATTAGATTTAATCCAGGTTTTTGTTTTTCTTACTTAAAGACCAGTGTCCTTTGCATACATATTTCTGACTTATTGTGTACTACATGTTGCTGTCATAGTTTTAATTCAGAAGGTTTCAAGAATGACTTGCTGTCACTACACCAGATCAGTTGTGTTAATTAGACCACCCTATTCAGTTGTAGTAAATTCAGGCTTTTTCCACTTTTAAGTTCTAACTTAAAGTATGTTACTGCTTTGAGACTTTAAATCACCTGCAAGTAGTGTTTAAAAAGTCAGTGCCCTTTCCAAAACTTTTTAAAAACTAATATTGTCACTTTTACGTTCTTTTTACCTGCTCCCCATATCCCTTGCCAATGGCTTTTATTGGCTGTCTAAAGCAAAAATAAAGACAGCTTTGTCACAAACTAAAAATTTCTCAATTATCAGAATAAAAAGGACCAGTAGAACATGCTAATTTTCTTAAAGGCCAGTTCCATCAGCCTTACCTATAATTCTCATTGGTTTATAGCAGGTTTTTATTTGTTTATTTATTTTTGTGGTACGTGGGCCTCTCACCGTTGTGGCCTCTCCCGTTGCGGAGCACAGGCTCCAGAAGCGCAGGCTCAGTGGCCATGGCTCATGGGCCCAGCCGCTCTGCGGCATGTGGATCTTCCCAGACCGGGGCACGAGCCTGTGTCCCCTGCATCAGCAGGCAGACTCTCAACCACTGCGCCACCAGGGAAGCCCCTATAGCAGTTTTTTAAAGTACATAATATTATTTTTATTTCTCTTCTAAGTGGATTCATTTACATAAAGTCAAAATTTCTTTCCCT